TACCTCACTACACGAAAGAGTTCTGGCGCGAATGGAGATAAACAAAAAGTGAAAAACTAAGAAAAATGTTTGAGAAAAGAGGACATGACCACTCTAGTGACTTATTGTCAAAGCCTCAGCAAACACATACAAGATTTGAAAGACAGTCGGGCAAATTTTCAAATTGTTCTGAAAGGTTTTTATTGAAGGATAGGACCTTTAACAGACAATATGCACATCTTTATGCTGAAAGGCTTTGGGAAGTTCGTCCAAAAGTTGAAATTGCTGCTAGAAAAAAATGGGGTATTGATCATATTTTACATTTGGCCTAATGATAAGCTAGTAGAAGTAACCCATTTGCCTCATAAACTTTGATAAAAGCAGAGAATAATGCTATTTTGATGTATGCTTAATATAAAGATATATGTATTACGGTCGACCAATGGGGTGAGTGCAGTTGTACAATCAAAAATACAAGTTTGTTACATTGATCAGCCACTTCAAAATCAATTTGCACAAGACATCTCGTCTTGCTGTGGTGTCACATGATCAATTAACGCCAGTTAATGGAGCTCGTCGAAGCTTACGAAGACAGCCGAGCATCTGGTTGAAACAATAGACCTAGTGCAATTTTTGACTAAAGAAATTGTAGAATATATTCCTGTTGCTTTTCAGTTTTTTAAAAACCAAAACTGCAAAAGCATTTTATTTAATTTATTTATTCACCATTATCGCATGGGATCCTGGAAGTAAAGGAATTCTGTGAAGGTTTCACTCAAAAATTTTCCTGATGTATGAACAGATTTCATTCCGAATTTCCTCTGTTCTTACATGTAAGTCTATTGAAATGAGCTTTGCCAAGTCGCTCAATGTGCTAGCTATGAAGATAATTTGTTTTCCGGTGTAACCTTTGGGGCAAGTGCAGTTGTACAATCAAAATCACAAGTTTGTTACAATGATCAACCACTTCAAATATCAAGTTGCATGAGACATCTCGTCTTGCTGTGACATCACAAGACGTTGGAGCTCAGTCCCCACATAAGAAAACAAAAAGAGCAAGCACTGATCTACATTATTGGACTTTAAGGGGAGTGGGCGGGACGGTAGGGAGGTATGGTATTAAATTTTGTTGCAAAAGCTCAAAGGCTTCTTGAGATATTGTGCAGAATATTATTATAAGAGATGATGACCTTGACTTTGACCTCAAAATCAATAGGAGTCTCATTTAAGGGTGTAGGGAGTTATATAAAATTTTGTTGCAAAAGTTCAAAGGCTTCTCGAGATTATTTGAAGAAATGAAAGTGTTACAGAAAGTCAGAAATACAGACCAAAATTAATATCCCCGATTTTCAGTTCAGGCGACAACAAGCATAAACAAACCTTCATACTTTTAGAGGTAAAAATGTGTGCATGTTAACATTTTTAAGTTTATTTTATACATATGAAGCCCATAATTATATGGAAGTAGTCAAATTTTGAAACTAAACAGAAGACTATACATTCAACACAAATACCTTTTTTTAAGTCCAGGTGATTTAATCTCTGTGCATTTGTAGCATGTTCTCTCATTTATGATAATTGGAATTTTGTAGGAAAGGATATTTGTATAAGGAAATTACACGAACTGCAGAGTGATGAAACATGTGTTGTCATTGGGACTCTGTTCAAACACATGGAACTGAAGCCAAGCATTTTACAGGAAATCAGTGAGGAGGTAAAATATAGCTTATAATTCTCTTCTTTCATCTTGCTATATTTTGAAATACCTGTACACTGTATCTGCTCATAGTTAAAGAAATGTCATAAGTATAAATAGGTACAAACCAAACAAACAATAAATATATTGATAATAAAAAAATAAACTTTTCAATTATTTTAAAAAGATAAATAGTAAGAAAAATTGTACATTATATTTCTAATTGCAAAAATTTGTTCAATATGTCTATATTTGTATTTTTATGTGTATTTTAATAAATAGTAATGACTATTTTATATTTTAATATGACTATATTTATATATATGTAGCATAATTTAATGCCCCAGCCCGTGAGAACTAAGTTTGTGGATGACTCAGACAAGCTGTACTTGGAGGATGAGCTACAGAGAATTATCCTGGTGGGAGACCTGGACGTTCAGAGGGCCGTGACAGGTTAGGTTATAGATTCAAGTCCCTAGTTATCACATGTACACATAACAAAAAGTAGAATCTGTTTAAATTAAACATTACTAAAATACATATACCAAGATGTAGAATACATTAACATGCAACTTTTTTTGTACATTAAAAATATAGCTGCAGAAGTGTAGCTCTCTTCTTTTAAAAAGAAAACACTATTGGGAAAACCCGAGAGTTTCAGATCCAAGCATACTTAATAAAAAGGTAGCAGCAAAACAGTTGTCGTAAATTGAAGGTTTTTACAATGCTTTTAGGTTTGATGTCAACAAGATAGCTACAGTTCTGCAGCTAATTAAGAATACTGGATATTTATTTTATAAATTTAGATAGGTTATGATAGCATGATCATTTATTGAATACTTCATTAATTTTTGCCATGTTATTAGAACTTATTTCAAACTACTGCAATTTTAAAATGTTTTGTTCATAGAACACAATAAATTAGTTTATGGCATCTTGTGTTCATTCTCTTACCATATATATAATTTATTTAAAACAATGCCTTTTAAGAGTGTTTTGTTCTTGGAAGGCGAAAAAAAGTTGGGGGGGGGGGGGTAAAAAAAAAAAGTTTTTTTAATGCATTTATACAGTTTCAATTTGAATATTTCAACATTATAATTTTTTACAATAATTTTTGTCTGATATAGGTGTGATCATCGCTGTTTATGGTAAAGAGCCAGATGATGATCGTGGAAAGTTCCACGTGGAAAAATACTGTTTCAGAATGTTGAAAGAGCAGGTCCCCAGACCCATCTTAGAAAAAGACAAGTACTAAGATTTTTTTCAGCCTTGTTTCCCTGCTTTGAAAATCTTTGCCCTGATTTGTCAGTTTGGAAGATTTGATTGAGTTTATTTTTTTTTTCATTGGTGTGTCATCAATTTGAAGCTTTTAGCAAGCTTAAGCTTAAATGTTGTGGAGGGTAACAATTTTATACAAATTTTAGAAAGAAAACTTATCAAGAAACTTGTTTCTTGATTATTAAAAGTAACAATACTTTATATTTTAAAGTCTTTTTCACATGATTTTAAAAAAAATAAGTTTTCTTACCAACATTTTATTTTGCCAATTTATGTTAATTTTTCATGTTATTCTGTCAGGTATTTGATCCTGATCTCAGGACTAGAGTTGGGCAGTAAGGAGGAACAGACCTTCACCCTGCAGCTCTTTGTCGACATGGTAACGGGGATGCTGGGTAATAGCCAAGAACAAGGTCATTGTTCGGAGATTTCCAGAATCGTCGTTGCTGGAAATTCCTTGAGTTCTAGCACACAAGACAAGGACAGTTTGCAAAAGGTAAGACATGAAGGGATCATAATTTTAGGTTGTCTGAAGAATACAAATACAATCAAATGTTGTTCAAACAAGTTAAAACTGAGGAAAAGTTTATGATAGTGAATAGAAAAAAGTGCTTGGGATTTCCCATTTGCATCTACCCTGGTACTAACATTATATTTGAGACATCAATGTTCGAGATACTGAAGTTAAACTACAATATGTTGATAATACCAGGGTTCGAAATTAGCGAGAAATACTCGCAAAATGCGAGTTGATTTTTAAAACAGCGAGTAAAAATAGAAGACACTCGAAATTTTTAGCGAGTGGTGATTTTTGACCCAAGTAGTCTTGTATCCATATTTTTCTGGTAATTCATCTTGCTTTTTTGAAATTTAAAAAGAGTCACAATGCATTCGCCTGATTCGGTAAACCTCGGTTGATTCTATCACCAAATCTCAATCAGCTGATGCAATTTATACAAAAATGTTTCATTATTAATAATAGTTTTATTTGACATATAAAATGTGTCAACCTTGTCAAAATTTACCTTAGATAAAAAGAGTAATCATTAGTTTTACACCAAATAATTTCTACCATAACTTTTTGAAGATCGTTTTCTGCAGCTAGACAGCCATGTTAGGTGCCCGCTGTAAATATCACACCTGGTTAATTATGCCCGGGATGTTTGACCCCATTATTCAGTAGCCAAAAATCCTAACCTACCTACCCTTGATCATACTGATTTTCTTTTTTGGAATTTTACAGGAATTACAGGAAATAAATATATTTTAATTTTTTTTTTGTGTGTGTGTGTTTTTTTTTTTTTAGGCCAGATTACCTTTTTTTTTAATGTAAAGACATTGATGTTCTTAATTCTGTACTGACCTACTATAGAAAAACCTGTATTATTATTGATTTAAATGAGCATGAAAAAGACATTTAATCCTTCTTTTAATTTTAGCTTGTTGATCTTCATTTCAGCTTGTAGATTTTATATGTACAGGCTAAAATTAGCCTGTGGTTAAAAAAGTTTATTTCTATCCCTGTTATACTCATGTATAACACATAAATATGTTGTATAGGGATGTTAGTCTCAAAAAGAGGAATTTTTAGGTCTTGATTTAAACCTGTTTTTGTTTGCAGGCAAAATATCTTAGTAAGAAATCAGCTGCTGGGAGCGTGGAAGCCATAAAAAGTCTGGATGATGTCTTCACACAACTGGCAGTAAGGCTTATCTTCATTGTTTTAGATGACAGCTGTCTTCACAGTTTTCAGTGGATTGTCAATATTTTTCTGTGATTTAAGTTAATTTTACAAAACAAATTGTTGGAACTTGTTTGTTCCTTCAAGGCTTAATTAATGTAATCTTCTATGAAAAGATACTATATCATAGTTAAAGTTCATAATCTCAGAATTTTTCGTATGAACAGTTTATTTTTCAATTGGCTTATTTATTATAAAATTTCAAACAATTTATTGTAAACTTTTATTATGTGCTATTTTTAGAGTTCAGTTGATGTTGATTTGATGCCAGGGGAATTCGACCCTGCCAATTACACCCTACCCCAGCAGCCACTTCATAAGTGTATGTTTCCCCAGGCATTACGCTATCCCACCTTTCAGACTGTGACCAACCCTTATGACTTCACAATAGAAGGGGTTAGGTTGGTAAACATACATTGATTTGAAATTTAATAAATATAGAATGGAAAATCTGTGAAAGATCTTGAGATGAAAATGTATACGTACCATTTATATATACACTGCAGAAGAAAAATACAATTTTGAACATACTGGGTAATGTATAAATTAGTTGAAATTTATTTGGGAATGAGAATTGGGGACATCTGATTCTATCTTATGGATGATGATATCAAGATGAGCTTTTTAAGCATCATGTATTTAAATCATTGAATAATATGCAGGAAATTCGGTTATAGCAAAGTCCTTGGGACCTATGAAACTACTTCCTTATATCCCTAATTCGTTATATCCATGTAAGGAATTCATTAAATATTTAATATATAGCTGGGGATCCAAGATAACTTTGCTATATCCATGAATTTGTAATATCCGTGTAAGTACTAATTAATATCAATTCTCTGTAATTATCAAAATTGGTTGGCCACGCATAAAAAACATTTTGATTTTTTTATTATAATTTTAAACAGCTATGTCATTAATTGTAAAATCTAAAGTGGGTTTATGAAATAGACCCTTGGTTGCCATAGAAACGGGGTGCAAAATTCTCAATTTTGTTAATTTTGAAAAACGTGTACTTATCAAGAAAAATTGTGTCCAGAAATGAAAAGGGATAACTTAATATTTTTTCAATATTTAAATTTAATACTACAGATTAAAGTAATTATATCTGTAGTTTTAATTTAATTTCTCAATAGTAAATGGCCATTTTACATATTATAACATATCAGATATGTGATTGGTTTAGTGGAGTTTTTGGAGGCTTAAAACAAAAAAGGCACACTGATTACAAATTTAGTAATAATTAATTATGAAAGGCTAATATTTGATTATTTCAAAATATCTAAAATATTGGTGGGAGACTCAAAGATGTAAAAGGAATTCAAAGGTAAAGATTACTTTTTTCTACATTTTGAAGCATTTTTTGCTTCCTAATTACTTCCCTTGAACTACTCTCTAACGTTTGGAGGTACAATGTGTATTTAGTAAACAGTGCTCAATGAACATTTTCTGGCGAAAGATCTCATCAAAGTTTTACAGTCTGGAAGAAGAAAAGAAGGCTAGACATCTTAAACAATGAAGACAGAAGGTAAATTTATGTATATACTGAGCATTACAAAAATATCAAGATTAACAAATGCATATTTTCTTAATTTTATTTGCCTTACAATACACAGTTGTTTTACCGGTAGTGGTCAGTGGTCCTTATCAAATCAAGCGAACTCTACCTTTTGACAGTTTGATTTTCTGACCAATGAATTAATTATTTTTATTAATAAAAATGAATTTGAAGCATATAAACATCACTTGCTGATACAGCTGAAACCACCCCCCCCCAAATATAAATGTCTATATAGAGATTGTACATGTGTAAAATCTGACCAATTTCTTGCCATATCTAAAAAAATCTGTGCCATTCAGTAGGTTTACTTTTTATGATGAGCTGAGAGAGACTTTTAAGTAAACATTATTAGCTCTTCTGAGCCAAAGGCTCAAAGAGCTAATGCTATGGCCATTTGTGCGGTGTGCGTTGTGCGGTGTGCGGTGTGCGTTAACTTTTTAGAATATGGGCCATAACTCAAGAACCCCTTGGCCAATCAGTGTCAAATTTGTCACAGGGTATCCTTGGCCTAAGGGCTACCATTTATACTAAAATAAGGGTTGGGACCCTAAAACAAGGGGAGATAATCAGGAAAACAAAACCAGAAGTACCGGTTGCAAAAAAATCTTCTTCTCCAGAACCACCAGACAGATTTTCACGAAACTTACATACAATGATCAGGATATGTTGAAGATTAAAAATTGTTCAAGGCATGACCCTGGGGCAAAGGGCGTGGTCTCAAGGTCACTTCAAAGTTGACCTAAATTTACAATTAATGAAAATGTCTATATTTTGCTTACTATAAGGACTAGGATCATCAAATCTTGTAAGTAGATGCATCTTAGGACTTCACATCATGTTAACTCAAAAGTAGGTCACGGTGACCTACTTTTTAAATTTTGCGGGCATTTGTTTTCAAATTGATTTGAAGGCATATTTTGGACACTTTAAGGCCTATGATCATTAAACTTTGTCAGTTGATGCATCTTGGGTCTTCAAACAACGTCAGCTTAAAAGTAGGTCACCGTGACCTACTTTTTGAACTTCATGACTTATCCTTTTTAAAACATTTTATCCCATTATTTCAGACACTGAGAGGGTTAGAATCATCAAATCTTGTAAGTTGCTGCATCTTGGGACCTTAAAACATATTTAAGTAAAAGTAGGTCACTGTGACCTACTTTTAGAATTTTGCAGGCATTTGTTTTCAAATTGTTTAAAAGGCATATTTTGATTACCTTCAGACCAATGATCATCAATCTTGGTCAGCTGATGCATCTTGGGATTTTGAAAAATGTCGACCAAAATGTAGGTCACTGTGACCTACTTTTGACATTTTATGGCTATATTTCGATATCTTAGGTATTTATTGGCTTAGAATCATCAAACTTTGTGAGTTGATGCATCTTGGGTTTTCGGAGAGTGATGACCAAAAATTAGGTCACGGTGACCTACTTTCAATATTTTATGGCTATATTTATGTATCTCCAATACTTATCGGCTTAGAATCATCAAACTTTGTGAGTTGATGCATCTTGGGTTTTCGGAGAATGTCGACCAAAAAGTAGGTCACTGTGACCTACTTTTGACATTTAATGGCTATATTTATGTATTTCTGGTACTTATCGGTTTAGAATCATCAAATTAGGAATGTCGACCAAAAAATAGGTCATAGTGACCTACTTTTGAATATCTCAGGTATTTATTGGCTTAGAATTATCAAACTTGGTCAGCAGATGCATCTTAGGCCTCTGATAAATGTCAACCAAAATGTAGGTCACGATGACCTACTTTTGACATTTAATGGCTATATTTAAGTATCTCCAGTACTTATCGGCTTAGAATCACCAAACTTTGTTAGTTTATGCCTTTTGGTTTTCAGGGAATGTTGACCAAAAAGTAGGTCTCGATGACCTACTTTTGACATTTTATGGCTATATTTAAGTATCTCAGGTACTTATTGGCTTAGAATCATCAAACTTTGTTAGTTTATGCCTTTTGGGTTTTCAGAGAATGTTGACCAAAAAGTAGGTCACGGTGACATACTTTTGAATATCTCAGGTATTTATTGGCTTAGAATCATTAAACTTTGTTAGTTGATGCATCTTGGGTTTTCCAAGAATGTACACCAAAAAGTAGGTCAAGGTGACCTACTTTTGAATATCTCAAATACATATTTGCTTAGAATCTTCAATCTTAGTTTGTCTATTAATGCATCTTGAGTCCTCAGAAAACTTCAATCTTAAAGTAGGTCACCGTGACCTACTCATTTGTTTTTTTTATAGCTTTATTAAAATATCTTCAGTCCTAATTGGCTAAGAATCATCAAACTTTTTATCAGTTGATGCAACTAGGTTTTAGGATACTTAGGGTTAGAGGCTTCAAATACAAGTGATAGGTTGTACAATTTATCAGAAGAGCGATTCAAGGCCCTTGGGCCTCTTGTTTATCTTTATAAAATAAATTTCCACTTCTGTCAGTTTTCATTCATTGTTTATCCTATTATTTCAATTCTTTATTGGCATTAGGCACGTATTTTACAGAATTGTGTTGTTAAAATATTAACTAGAGCAAGTTTAATTTGTTTCTATAAAAAAAGTGCATCAAACGTTTATAATGTGTGAGCACAAGCATAAAGTAGATAAGTTTTTTAAATAGTATTCTATATATATCAGCAAAATATGGTCATGTGATGTTCATAAACAGAAAATAGGAAAACAGCATGTTTGTTTTGATGTCATTGTTTTATTTAAAAGCTTCTATCTTTTAAACTTTAAATTTATTATATATATCCAAAACTACTGTACTATATGTAATGACAAAATAGATCTAGGTTAAGAATGCACTGGAAATATTGAGTTATTTTTGTTTAAATAGACTCTTTCATTCATCTGTGAAGTACCGGTACTGTATAATCTATAGTTCAATTTTTTGTGAATAATAATTATCTTTTCAAATAGCAAACAGTAAAAATATATATATATGTACACTTGTACATATGTATAAGTGTTAAAACAAAATTTAACTAAAGGTACTGTGAGCATTGAGCTCACTAAATGATACCCCCTGCCTCCCATATGGTTATAACTGATGACAAATCCATGTTTTACTGTGGCCGGGAAACCCAAAATATGCGTCAAATCAAAAAGTAAAATAGGAGGTGACAATATGTAATAAAGATTCTGTGAAAGGTTCATTAAATTTCACTCATTGCAGTGGTATAAGAGGAGTTGTGGATAATAAGAGATGGGTACCCTAAAGCGTAACAGACAGACGGATATACAGACAGATGGACGTACAGTTAGACGGACATACCGATTACAGTATACCCTATCACTTTTCAAGCGGAGGGTATAATAAAACTATATACATGTACATGTAGAATATTCACCTCTGATTTATAATGATATTTGTATTGTACACACAGACCATGTTTTATAATATTCTAAACAAATTAATTGATACTCAGGCAAATATTCACTACTGGTAAGATGATCACACACATGAACATGTCTGTGTATGAATGAAATGAATTTTCCTTTTGATCATGTTCCTAGGAAAATAATTATTTTCATCATTTTTTCATCAAAGGATTTACCATATAAGATGAATAAAGAAAAAGTAAGACCAGTAAACCAAAACAGGACCAAATAGGCCATGACTGAAGTTCAAGTGCATTCTGCAAGAAAGCGGACAGCCTAGATTTTTGTTCTTTTCAAGGTAACCATTCTTAAAATATGAAAGTAAATTAAGGACAGATGATACAAACAAAAAATAGATGCCTGGATTGGTATATATTTTTTGGCATAATTTAATTGCAAATTAATGATTTATTAATAAATTTCTAGAATATTAAGAAAT